GGATCTGCCTCTTCCAGATTGTCAGCTTCTGGGCTCTATTGATTCCTCTGCACCAAACATGGTACCTAGTGCACCTCTAGCGCAGTACTTTGCTCTTTAGAAACTAATTTCATAAACTCATTAATAGATCGCTAATTTTATGCCACGTGATCATGTTTAAAAGGAAGATTGTAAGCATTTTGCATGTTATATCAAAGAAAAGCTAGAAACTATTAGTAATTCCATGTTCTTATGAATTTTGCTTTGTCTCTTTGGCCATTCCTCTTAATCATAATTGCAAAATTTCACAGAAGATATGTAGTACTTCACTTTCCATTTTTCCCTCTTTTTTTTCAGAGAAAATTCATATGCTCCACGCTTTTTTGGGCTCCTGAAGAAAAAGATTATAACATTCTCATTCTGGAGAATTTTCTTTAGCTCTCGCAAAAAAAATTTTCCGTTAAGTCAATCCAAAAGCGTCTATAAAAGGACATATTCAAATCTTCTAGATGAATCCTAGAAGTATTTATGGATAAGAGGGATAGAAAAAAGCTGTCGAAACTCAGAAACAACTCTTTTAGTAAAATACCACATTGTTTTTATTTGCGAAAATCTTTCACAGCCTCTTGGCAGCTGTCTATACTGAACTCTTGTCAAACATGACTTTTTCGTTGGGGATTGAAGTGTTGTAGGAGAGAAATGATAACATGCGATTGTTTGCTCAACACTTGAAACTAGAAGCCAAACCATGTCTCAAGTTTTCTGGCTCAGTACAATTTTTAAAAAAACTCAGTAAAAGTTCCTCTTGCACAGCAAGCCGGAAACGGATGCAGTAATCTTGTGCGAGAGTGTAATTCGAGCCTAGTTGGTTATTCTAGCATGCCACCCGCCTAATCAGTTGCACATGAGTCGACTGCTGCAGTAGCTTTACGCCACCTACTTAATGCATTTCGTTGATGTACGAGCCTTGGTCTATGAGCCTTAGTCTTGTGTTTCCTCCTAGAACAAATGCTTTAGATGAAGTTGTTTATCTAGCGGTAGGGGTGAATGAGGTCACCTGAGGGATTTGCACTGGCAGCAGACTTTGTTGACACTCTAAACATCAATTACTACGACTGCTGCGATCATTTGTCAGTTCTATGACTGTTTATCAAATAAGAATGGATTTCTAGCATCTAATATCTTTCCGATTTTTTTGTCGTAGAATTAGCTTTGGAATTTCCAGTCAAAATTTGCAGAATCGTTTATTTACTCAAAAGAATTCTGTAAACTTCCTATCTAATGCATCCACTTTTTTCGCGCATTTATTTCTTCTGCAGGCCATTAAAAGTTTTAGAACAAATGTTTGCTCTGCACCGATCCGGTTTGTTGAGCATCGCTGCTACGATTGCACATTCGCGTTTCGTTCTATGCCTTCATTGCACACCATCTGGTTCGTTATCCTAAGATTTGAACAGCCCTTAAAAGTTCTCTCTCTGAATTTTCCAAAAATGAAACTTCTTCAATCTAATTTTCAAATCCAGCAAATTGCATTGTCTTTTTCAGCTATTTGTCACATTCCTGAACGCCTGCGAGCAGTTTTCTATATTTCAGATTGAGTATAAGTTAGTGTTAGGCAGTGATGATTGTGATATTGCAGTAAATTGAAAGAACCTTTAATTCATGACCAAGCATTTTTTTATAGGACCTAC